GTAGCAGTCGTAAGGGAGCCAGACTGACAGTATATAAGAAGACTACCTTCCAGTCTACAACATCGCCTGATGAAGACTAGCAGTAGCAGTCGTAACGTCGCATTCCTCCTAACTCCGCAACCGTGATAAATAAGTTTAATCTTTGATTTATATCCACGATGGATAATCTTTTCCATTTTATGTTAATAATTTATTGCCCACGAAAGTCACTGAATATTGGATTCTTGGAAGGTGTCTTAGTCTCTGATCTCGGGTATCGAGGGTGGGAATTAAAAAGAACTCTTACATAACCTTTAAGCAATTACATTTCAGTGCGCGTTTATCATTAATTAATGAATTATTTAGTTTGAATTCCATTTGTAGTTTCTTGAAAATGTAGTATAATAATTGATTAAAAAAAAACAAAAACGCTTAGAATGTTGAGTTCTGTAAAGAGCTCCTGTAAAGAAACGAGTTGGATTGCAGGTTCCATGCAGGCAAACCCTGATTCGTAAAACTAGTAGAATCTTGGAAACTACAGATRTATTATAGTTATAAACATCATTAGTTATCATAATCATTTATAAGCATCATCATCATATCACCATTAGTGAAAAAAATCCTTTCTTTGTAAATATTTAAGAAAAGTTAGAGTGGGTTTAAAGAGGTTGAAGCAACAAGATAAGTGAATATTTTAAGACTCATACGATATATATATGGGTTAAAGGAAGAACATAGAAGCTGATACAGAAAGGTATGCTGGAAAATGAATTAAGTATCCTCTGAAAACAAATGTAAAAAAGCCTCAATGCTTTCAGATTAGTTTTTTACTAGATACATGTACATACATCTAATTAACATTCTTTCCATGTATCACTTGGGTCTCAGCTTCTATGTTTTATGTTCTATGTTTTTCAACCATACATGTACATGTAGGATAATTTTGCAATTGAGTGTATATACAATACATAAACATCTATATACAATATATAATATAATATATACATTTTAAGATTGATATTTTAAGATTACCTTGAGTTACCGGTTGGCCAGCAATGGAATAGATCCTCATGGCCATTGCAAAGTCATCTAAGTTATTGAGAAATAGACAGAAGTCCACATACTGGTGAAGAGTGATGCCCTGGAAGATCATATAACAGGATTATTTTAACATCTGCATGTCTATCTTTTCATATCCCTACCCCCACCCCCCAGAGATTATACAGCTCCCTGCTGGTTAGTTTATTTGGTAAGTCAGCAGTATTGGCCTGTTGTGCAGGCCCATTCATAAACTGTACAATTAATATAATAAAAAAGCTGACAATTCTCTTATGATGTTAAGATATAATTCTTTTTATGAAACCAATGTTTAGAATTGAGAAATAAATCCTTCTGTTACTGTATGTGGTATTTATAGAGCGTTTTCACTCACATGAGAAGGCAGCCATAAACAACAGAAATTTTCTGCACAGTGTTTGCATAAAAATAAAGTTCAATTCCTGGAGGATAGAAAATGTATTGTTTTGGTACCCCTTAATGGCCGCTGTGACGTCACGTGAAAACGCTCTATATATTAACAATTTTAACATTGGCTTAACATGATATGTCCTTGTCCTCTTATTTACCCCAATTTGATGTCAACAGTGGGTCAAAATGCTAGGTACCCATGAGGAGTAGTCAAGAGTTGATACACAGCAGAGGACAAAGCAACGTTGTCACCTTACACCACTCCCTTTCCCATTCCTTTTCCCCAATCTTTCTTGACCACCCAATGCCAAGGGTTGCTAAACAGACTATATAGACCCTTTCAGCTTGGATATGTTTTAATTCTCATTTCAGACCACATGTCATTCCCTGGAGTACCATTTGTTCGTTAACAGTTGTTATGAGAAGACACATAAAATGAATGCAACTCAAACAAAGAAATCTTATTCTCAAGAGAATGACATGTGGTCTGAAATGGGAACACATTACAACCAAGTCTATTGATGCTTAGGCCTAGGGCAAACGTCAAACTTTCCATGCACCAAACTCATTAAAAACAATGGATATCAGGTGATAATGAGGCGGCATTCTTTGATGTAATTAAGTTCGGTGCATGGAAAGTTCGATGTTTGCCCTAGGCCTTAGATAAAACAATTTGCCAACCTTTCTGACTTTTAACCGGTTGTTCAGCCTATCAATATACTGTTGGATTTGTTCAGTTTCCAATGCTGTGTTTCTGAGCAAGAGACGGCTAAAACTCTCTTCTGGTACAGTCGGCATTCCACGTGAATACTCCATGAAGTGGTAAATGTTAAGAATAATATCTCACATCAAGTTATTTAAATTCGTTATATATAACAGTTTTCACATACAGCTGTAACATTGTGCACCAGACAACTTCATTTATAAGTCTGTAACTAATCAAAGCACCATCATATGTTTATTTATGAAATATAAAGTAAGAGAGTTATATTCAAAATAAAAGGATATTTCCATCTCAGAAACCTCAATTTGGAGATCRACCATAAACCTGTCAAAAGTAAACATAAAAGAAATGTATACCTTATTGCAGAGGCAGATCCAGGGGTGGTAAAAGGGGTGACTAGTCACCCCCCCTCCCTTTGCTCAAATTTCTCAGTATAT